AATGGCTGCCCACTGCTCCGGGTGTGTGTTCACGGTGTGTGTGTGTTCACTGCTGTGTGTGTGCACTTTGGATGGGTAAATGCAGAGCACTAATTCCGAGTATGGGTCACCATACTTGGCCACATGTTACGTCACGTCACTTAAAACGGTATCGATATTTATCGACGGTACACCGATAACGATAGAAAAAAATTTCATATATCGCACGATATTTCACGCCTTTTTCATTTAAAGGTGCATGTTATGAGGGACAAGCAGTGAGCCAGAACACAAACACATGCTGAAATGAGTGCCGTGCCTGCCTGCGATGAGAAGACTGTGAATCAAAAAAGGAATATTAGTCGAATTTAAACACAAACACAAATTTCGCACAAGAGATGAATAGAAAGCCATGTTAAAAAAAGGTTCAGCTTTTAGAAAACGTCTCGATAATTGGTTGGGGTTTTATTCCATTCCACTGCGTCTCTTATGTTTTTACATGCGATCGTGTGATCGGCGCTTTGGCTATTTGTATTAATCTATGCATAAATACATGATGCTGTTTTGTTCATAATTGTTTATGCAATTTACGAAATTATATTTGATTTATAAATATTAGTTTAGACGGTATGCACTTTTTTATAGCCAGTCATTATTTCATTGCATTGAATAAACAATTGAATGAGGTGCATTATTTTGCTCATTGCGCCCTCCTGTGGCCTCAGGAAACAGGCCAAATGTTTCCTTTACACTTATTTAATCTGCATATAAAATATAAGAAAGGAGATATTTGTTTAAATTTTATTTTGTTATTTTGTTTTATTTGTTATTTTGTTTGTTAAGACTAAAATAAGTTGTTGTTTGTGTTAATAAATTGGGTAAATTAAAAATACAGTGGTTAAATTAAAAAAAAAAATGCTACTGCTCTCTGTTTACGAAAGGTTATAAAACATTTTCAATAATTATCGATACCGAACGATATGAAACATTATATCGTGATACATTTTTTTTTTGCTATATCGCCCAGCCCTAGGACAGAAGGTGAATTTGGATGCAGCCAGAGATCTGGTGTTCTTCTGGGAACAGAAAGATTCACTTCACAATGTGAGCGACACTGAGCTGCAGGTTTAAAGCTGTGAGCTTTGGGTTAGCACAGATAAGACTCATCCTTTGAGATTCCTGCTGGTTCTTGCTGTGCTGCTGTACAGAAAGTACTAAAGATTGCACAAATTAGACCCAGCCAAATCAACAGATAGCCTACTGAACGTGAGTGTAGTACATTACACTTCCATTTATTAATTCAGCAGATGCTTTTATCCAAAGCGATTTACAAATGAGGAATATGACAAGCTAAAATCACGTTCCCATGTGAATCCAGTAAAAATACATAGCCTATACTGTTTTTTAATGTTCCAGTTTTACTTAATACTTTTTTAGGTTAAATAAATATGTAAATAAATAACAACTTAGACTATTAACAACCAATACAATAGGCCTGCTGTTTTGCATGTTTACATTAACATTCGACTTAGTGTTTTAAGCGTTTAAAAAAAAAACATTTATTCAAACGCAATAACTATAAAAATGCAGTTACAGTGTATTTCAGATCTTATTCGTGAACTAATGTTCAACTATTCTTTTTAATCACCTTATTTTCGGATCACTTTAATCCTCGAATGCTCCGTAAGCCCTGCAGGTGCCATATGATGGTCTCAGGCATTTACAAAAACAGCTTCACAGATCATTATAATATTATTTATGTTTTGTTTTGAACGTGACAGAAAGCGGTGACTAGTGATGGGTGCTTTCGAAACGTTGCTTTGAGAAGCTTCAAACCTTTGCGAATCATTTGTTCCGAATCACTGATTCGGAGTGTGTATCAAACAGCCAAAGTTATGTGATTTTAGCAAACGGAGCTTATTTGTGTTTCGAAACTTTCAAGATTTCAATGGTTTGCTGCTAGATGGTGATCTCTGTGAACCCAAAGGCGAGTGTCCATGATTTTTAACTGATCTCAAATCAGTTTGATACATTTGTAGAAAAAGTATGCATTTGTATAATAAAAAGGAAGAGTTTTTTTTATTTGCCCAATTAACCAAGCTCTCCATAAAACACACAAAACAAGCCTTTTCAGTAATTGTAATTTTACTGATTTTGAGGATGACTTAAAATTGCATTCAGTAATTTGAACAACAGATATGTTGCACTGAACCCAGAACAACATTTTCTTATTCCTAATCACTCACTCACTCACTCACTCACTCACTCATTCATGTATACAGTTTTGGTACAGATAAGACTCATGCTTTGAGATTTCTGCTGTAATTCTGATCCGATTTGCATACTAACGGAGTCCAGTCACTGGTCTGTGTTTGTTTGCTCATTTATTTATTTTTACAGTGCAGTATACAGAATGTATAATTTTAGTGGTGCTCATATTTAATTGCAGTAATATTCTCCATCCATGCAAAACCTTCTTAAAGAAGGGCAGAGGGGCAGAACATGTAAGAGAGAGGGAGGAGACACAGTAACATACAGTAATACAGAACCATCTTGCCTCAGAGGAAATTGTCCGCACACAGCAGTGCTGGAAGTGAAACGTTGCTCTGCATCACAAAGAGAGAGAGAGAGAGAG